GTGGGAAGGAGTTGGAGTGGAAAGAAAACTTTATTGTTTAATAGCCTAAGCAATACTTCCTGGTTTCCCTCTAAAGTTAAACCTCCACTCTGTGGCTCAGCATCGAAGGAAATGCTGTTTAATTCTTTGGTGAATCTATAGACTGAGTAAATGAGTGCTGAGTACAAAGGAGAAAGGGGAATGCCATATACCTCTAGATATGGGAGTTTGGGGGTAAATGGGAGTGAACAGGTACAGAATTGGAATTCTGAAAATAATTGGGATAAATTTAGTAAATCCCCTCCCATAGCATGGCTTGGAAATGATAAGTGAACTGGAGGAATACAATTTGCCATGCAAATTCTGAATACTAAACGATGCAACTACATGCATAAAAGTTATTATGCCCTGGGGTTGGGACAGCACTTTCTCAGCATTCCCAAAACTCTTTTGACTGTCTATAGCACGTGTTTACAGATAACCTGCCTACACTGGTTAACTGAAACACTCAGAATAGATAAACATGGTTAACAAAATATTCAACCATGCCAAGCCCGTAACTATCCTGCCTGATCATTTTATTCATGTCAAAAATGTTTTAAAGATAGTGAGGTGTGTGTGTGTGTGTGTGTGTGTGTGTGTGTGTAAGAGAGAGAGTCAAAGAGGCAAATTAATTGTGTCGACAAGGCAAGAGAATAATAAACATCTAAACACCATTGTTAAACGGAAAGTACAGGTTAGCCTGGGCTCAAATAACTTCTTTTCAACCCATCAGTAGCACATTATCTAAGATACTAAAGTGCTAAATTGGTCAGATAAGAGATGTGCTAAGATGTAAGATCCTCTGAACAGTGAGAAAAGAAAATGGAGGTGAAAATTGCAATCTCCACCTGCAAGAGACTTAAATGAGAGGAAGTGAAAATGTTTACAATGGAAGAAGAGAGAAAATGTGATGATGATATTTAATAATAAAGACAAAACTAGAGACCTAGGAAGAAAAAAGATACTCGGGAAAGGGCTAGGACAGTCAAAGTCATAAAGCTCCATGGGGGTCTGGGCCTGGGGGTTGAGAAAAGCTCACAGGAGCTCATGAGAGTCGGCAGCAACTCTACTGGACCCAGGGTGGACAATTGGTGTCAAGACAGCAGCAGCAGATGTTTTTTTGGAAGAAGAATGATGGAATGATAGTCACAGGAAAATATTGTGACCTGCAGACAAGAGCTGTGTTTCAGTGACAGCTGGACAAGAATGCCCACAAACAGCCTTGGGGAAACACAGAGGCTGTGTCTGAGAGCTGGCGGTTTCCAAAAGCTGGAGTTTCGCTGGATGGGGGAAAGAGAAACAGAAACAGAGACAGAAAGATGCTGAAGAATGTGTCTTCAGCGAAGCATCTGTGAGGAAGGTAACAGGACAATCAACTGGGAGTACAAAACAGAAACAAAGAGTGGGAAATAACTCCCATCACGTGATTAGAAGTGTAAGCTCTGGAGCTACACTGCTTGGGTTCAGATCCTCTCTACCAATTACTAGCTGCGTGACCCTGGACAAGTTACTTTTAACCTCCTTGGCCTTCAGTTTCCTCATCTGTAAAGTGAGGATAGTAGTACCATCTCATGGAGTTATTGTGAGGATTGAATGAGTTCATACGAGGAAAAGAACTGAGAATATTGCCTGGTACACAGGAAATACCGGTAGATATCAGCAACTTCTATGATATGTGATCAGCCTCTATGAGTAGACCTGAACTGTGTAGAATGCTTTTGGCATGATCTCTCATTCTTCCAGATTATCCATAAAATTGTATGAAGGTTGCTTAGTATATATATTCACCACATCAAGATTACAACTGTCTTCCTTAAAGGCAGCTTGTAGGGTGGCTGAATGTGGGTTAGGCTAAGGATAATGGTAACATTATTTGAGGCGTGTATTTGTTTGGGGCAAGTCCCTTACCCCAACCCATTGAGCCTCAGTTTCTTATCTAGAAAATGGGGGTATTATAAAAACAGTATATAAGGTTTCTGTGAGATCATCTGTGAAAGTGCCTAGAAAAATGCCTGGAACACAGTAAATTTCAGTAAAAGTTTGCTGAGTGTGAATCTGCCTTGTGATATTGATGATGAATGAGTGGCAGGTTTGAAATCCTTTTATCTAGGTAGGGAGATCCTAACTGTTCTAACAGCTGCTGGTCAAGAGGACTTGGGTTCAGCTTTTGTCAGAACCTGGAAGAATTGATCTTTTAGATCACAAATGAAATTGACATTATCTTTTCCCGTTTATCACAGGTGTGAACAGAAAAAAACAAATGACAGCCTGAGTGTCTAAAATCAATTGGTGGTGACAGGAGTGCACTTTTAACTCTCTCTTATGGTTTTTCCTCTCTAAGGGAAGGACCTTAACAGCCTAAAGGAAAAGGAGTGAAAGGAAGCGAGTAACAGTTTATACATTATG